AGAAAAAAAAAGGCTTACATTAGGGAGTTCTATCCTTTTACGAGAACAGTTGACTGAAGAAATAAAAAATTGAATAAAGTCACACGAAAAACACACAACAAAAAAATAATAAATATTTTTTTTATCAGGATAGTCATACTCACCATCTGTAGCGTCTTTCTCGTACTTTGTTTCATTTGATGTGTTAAAAACCCCCTTGATATTGAGAGCTGATAAAATAGAAAAACAAGGAAAATGTAGTTATGCACTCCTTGCCAATAAGGGGCTGTCTAGGAGGGGACAGAGAGATGCAAAATATGCAAACCTGAACGTTCCGATAATGGGAAGAAATGTGCTAGAAACATGATAATACGTCCGCAGAATACCACATCATTTGCCTGTGGTATTTCAGAACAAAGGGTATCAATGCTAGTACAGAACACAACCTTATAGGCTGTCAAAACTCCGAGAAATGTAAAGAATATATTTGTTCAATACTCACTAAAGCAAAAGGACCACAACATCGCAATGTACAATACGATTTTTATGATATGTCCAATAGCTTGGTATTTTTACAGTAAATTTGTCATTACCAAAGATCTTACTGAACAGTGAGCACAGCAGTCAGCTTAGTACTTGATAAAACTGCTCAGCACAGAAAATAAGGAAAGCACAGAATGATTTCAATCTACAGACATTCGGACTACGACAAAGTAGATAGCAGAGTATGCATAAGAAAACAGATGAATCTAACCTTTGATAATCTTCGAAGTAGTTGGTTGCAAGTCCTTAGCATAACAAGCTTGCCACGCCCGAAAAGCTCTTGCTACAAACAACTCAATGAGGTAATCCCCATTAGCAAAGCAACTGCATACATCATATGTGCCTTACAAGCACCAATTTAACAAAATGTAGTACAAAAGACAAATTCTCAATTACCTTCCCCAAGACATCTTGTTTGCTCTCAATATATCCAAATACATCTTTGCAGTCTTTGATAGTTGACATTTCTGTCAGATCTTCTAACAGCTGGAATACCATACCTCCCTCAACATGCCCTCTTTCACAAAGGTAAAGCACGATATCTAACATGAAAAAAAAGAAGATCTCTCAAGAGAAAACAGATAAATCTCTAAATAGTGCTCAGGAACCAATGTGAGAAAGGAGCAGTAAAAAGGTTCCAACTAACCAAGAAGACGTGTTATCGGGCAATTATTTTCTTCATTATCCCCATATTGCATTATTCTTTTACCAGATTGAACTGCAGATGACTACAAATATAGATATGAAACGAAATCAGCAACAAGCATTAATCTATAGGGCTGCATGACAGGCAAGTAAGGATTGCACAATTTGAACAATAGAACTACCTATCGTTCAGGTACATGGTAAATACTTGCAGACGGTTATTAAACAGAAGATAGAAACTTAATGAAATGTATGGAGAAAGGAGAAGTTGCATTACGCTAACTTGTAAATGTGAGACAGTGACCCCAAAAAAAAAATCATCTACTACCACATTACTTTGTAATAGTGTTGTTACAGAGAACAAAGACTAGTGCAGGCACATGCGTGGTAAGGAAGCTTACTGCAAGTTCCTGCAGCAATTTGCGTAGAGCATTTTCTAAGGATTGGTTCTCCTCCAGAACCAACACTGTTTGCTTCTGCAAAAAATCAGATGAGCAACTAACTTAAAAACGTGTGTATGCACAAGACAACGCAAGGAACATCAAGTACAGTAATCCATCATCTATGAGAAAGCTACAAGCCTACAAGCATGGCTGACTGTGGTGCATTGTGTACCTGAGGTTTAATCGCATCCTGAACGGCCTGAAGGGCAAAAGCTTCAGGGGATTCAGTCCTAGACAGCGCATCCCGGAACACTCCCTGTGAACAAACGAGATTTCTCAAATCTACTGCACAACACAGAAATAATTCCGCGCAAATTGACAGAAAACCCTCGGTTCATGACATCCTCCCACACTGGCACCCCCGGGGGCATACTAGATAGGAGAGTGGACAACTCACGATGATGCGGTCGCGGTCGGTGTGGCTGGAGACGGCGGCGGAGGTGGCGGCGGCGAGCGCGGAGGAAGAGGAGGCCGGTGGCCGGTCCTTGCTGAGGAGGATGCGGAGCCCGGCGTTCGACGGCAGCGGCGGCGTGGGCTCCGCCATGGCGTGGTGGGTCAGAATGGAAGGGTAGGTTTCGGCACACTGGCTGGAGCCTCTCCCTCCCCGCTTCCAAGCTGGACTAGTATCCCACGGCGGCGGGCTCCGGCCTCCGGCGGCGCGCAGGCGACGGCGGATGCGGGGTTGAAGCCTCCTAGGGGATCGGGGAAGAAGGTGGGGTAGGGGATGCTGTCTTGTGGGCCGCGTTTAGGAATTACTGGGATTTTGGGTTGTTATTGGGCCGATCTATATCAGACGGGAATAAGTTCGCATTAGATCCCGTAATTTGCCACGAGGATAACACTTTGGTTGGGGTTGGAGAAGCTAGCCGGTGATAATCTAGATAAGCTTCTTCTATCTTCTAGTTCATTTTTAGATTTTACAACTATATCTTCTTAAAATCTGAGTGAAAATTTAGACTGTTTGTGAGAGCTTTTAAAAAAATCTCCAGTTGCCATAAACTTCCCCAAACATGCCTTGAATTCGTCCCGAACCGAAATACCAACGCTACAGCTCATCCTTCAACTCACAATACCGTATCAACTTTGGTCCCACGATAGTATGGTGGCTAATTTTAAGTTTTAACTGATGTGGGAAGTAGGACTCACGTGGACCTCACACAATAGCGACAACTCTTTGTCTCTCTTCCCTGTTCTCCAGGAGTACCGAGATCCAATCCTCATCGCCGCACCGCTCGTGCTGTCGGTGCTCTTGTTCGTCTCCATCCCGGTCCTCGCAGAATGCTTGAGCGCCTCCTCCCGCCCAAGAAGCTCCCCGGCCATCCCGGACAGCGACGAGTTTTAGCCTTTTAGGGGCTATTCAGATTGTAGCCGAAATAAACCTTACTAATTTTTGGCAATTTGGTAATATTGTCAAAATTTTGGCAGGATTTCTTATGCATTTACTAAAGTTTGGCAAGAATCTAAATGGATGCACATATTTAACAACTCTACCAAAAAAAAAAGTATAGTTTGAAAAGACATCAATCTGAACGAGCCCTTAAACTCGACGACAAATTAAGGACCTTAAATGAACTTATTTCTATCAGACGTCAACGATGTAGCCCAGCACATCCACACCATGCGTGTTCTTGCTGTCACCGCGGCCACATCCTCCTCCTCTAGAAGAGGGGATAAAGAACTTGATGATGGAGGAGAGATTCGCGGAGAAATCTACGTCTTGACCGGACTTCTCCCGTGGAAGTTTCTTTGCAATCAGTATACTAATGCAAGCGACGACGAGATCAACAATTTTCTTTTTTCGCCATGACATTATTATTCATACTCTCATCCAATAATGTCCAAGTCTGAAGCCTCGAGTAGCTAGTTCATGTGTCGTGATTATGGATTCAAGAACTAGCAGTGCAGACAAAATGGTCAGGTCAGTCTCACAGAAGACCAAAGATGTGCAATACTAACATTGTTTCAAACTACTACGTATTTCGTCACAAAATCTGCAGATACAATTTTTTGCAACAGCGGCACAATCTGGTTTGTGCGCTAAACATCATAGTACAAGTGTACAACCAAAGGGCATGTATCAATAACATGGATTGATTAAACTTATGCTCCGTTCATACTCAAACCAGCGACTTCATATGCCGACAGAGAGAATTGGGAACAGCATAAGCCAACAAATACTACAACAACTGGGAAACCATCTGATCATTATACAACCAAACCACAAAAGGTTTACCTAAAGTGTTTACAAAATGCAAGGTACACTGCGCTAAAGCTCCTAAATCATTGGAACAAACATAAAGTAGGGTAAATGCAGGACATGCAATTAATTTAGATCTCTGAGGGAGGTTTGACAGTATGAAAACCAAACCATCAACCACATGGCATACTGATGCAATGCAGTAAAGCCAATGAACTGGAATTGAGTTATTAGGAGTAAACCAAAATTATTAGAGCAGTTCAAGAGTACACACACTACAATCTCCAACATTCTGAGCAAAAGCATCCATGATAGGTAGAGGTGTAAGGGGAAAAAACAAAACCAAGAACAAGTGACAGAAGTCAGTTTCCAAACTAGTGTTTGGCACATTGGCTGTTGGTTACACATGTACAAAGCCATGGAGAAGTGTAGAGATTTAAAGCCTTCATCATAGGAGAAAAGGCCGATGGCATTCTGGATTAAGTAGCTTTTTGGTTGTTTTGATTCCTGTCTCGGTCCCCTGCTGCGTTTGGGTTTTGTAAATAACTCTTTATTTCTCTTAATACAAAAATGCACTCCTTGCGTATTCCCAAAAATACATCCGCCATGATATGCTAGTATCTGAATGGCCACTGAAGGATAAATAGTTCAGAAGTATCCTACACCATGTTAGCTTCAAATTTATCTTAAGATAACAAGCATTTAGGTGCCGCATATGCTGTCATAAGGTTTATTTTAAGCCATGAAACTACTGGCCAGCAAACATCATTCCAGTAACTTCCTACCAAAAATACTACTGGTACGTTAAACTCTACACAAATGGTAACCAAATGAATGAAGAAAACAACTCAATTTAGTGCCATATCGAATCTCTGAACCCAAAGAAACTGCGCCTAGCATCCTTTAGATAAAGACATCAAGACAAGTCTATTGTAAAATATGTTGGACAGTCACAGTCAAGGGTATGGCCGGATGAACAAGTTCTAAGAAGAAATGGAACAAACATCAGCTGTCACCATACAATATATGGAAAATAATAATCAGTTTGCTCCAGAATGGCCTATATCGTGATCCTCCATCCAAAATGGATGGCCTACCAAAATATATTAGCCCTTTCATGGTAGAAAATTCTGCACATTCACTGACCACAACTGCACAAAACATGAGTAGAAAAACTAGCTAGTACTCCATAATTTACCAGAAGTTGTACACAACATATTGCAATTTTGCTGAGCAGAAGAACCAAATATGTTCCATGTTTCATGATCAATAAATAAGGACACTTCAGTTTCACTTTAAATTATGTAAGAAAACATCAAGACCGTATTCATAATTTGTTTCTTTTCGAAATCACACACACATACTGAGTCAGACAGACGCAACACATATATAGGTGCTAATAGTAGTATATATACCCCGCAAATCCACGCGATCATTTATCACAAATTCTTAAATTGGCCATCGGCGAGATAGCCCAATTCCCCACCCCTAGTTCTTACCGCCGACGTACTGTTCGGCGTCGTGGATGATGACGTATCCGGCCTTCTTGGGGCTCTCGGAGTCGGACAGCTCGTCGTCGTCGTCTTCGCCGTAGACCTCGTCGTAGGAAGGAGCGCAGGTGGAGGCGAGGAGGGACCAGACGAGGTACATGGTCGCGGCGGTGAGGGCGCCGCAGCCGAAGCCGAAGAGGAGGCCGGAGACGACGACGAGGATGTCCTTGGCGCGCTCCTGGACGGACGAGGCGGCGTCGGAGGCGGCGGGGAGGGGATCGGGGCGGGGGATCTGGAGGGGGTGGTGGGGGCCGAGGCGGCGGACGCGGAGGACGGTGACGACGGTGGTGGTGAGGGGAGTGGGGTTGTTGGGGTCGGGGTTGGGCCTGGAGACGGAGGAGAAGGAGATGAGGAGCGTCTGGGCGTGGCCGCAGGGGCGCCCGGCTGCCGCGGGGGAGAGGAGGAACACCGCGGCGACGACGGCGAGGAGGAGGAGGCGGGCGGCGGCGGCGGCCATGGCGACGCGGTGGATTTGGGGGAAAATTCCGCTGGCTTGGCGAGGAGGAGGAATAGAAGGTTTGACTTGGTTGGGAAAAAATGACTTGTTATTTATGGCCGGAGTCTTTGGAAGGGGTCATTTTACGGTTTGGTCCCTGGACTCTGTACGTTTCGTGCAAACGTGTATAATACGGCAACGCCAGGGAAGCAAATCGGTTGGTCAAAACTGTTTCGGGGTGTAAAGTGGAAATGAGACCGTGTCCTGTCCGCCGTGCGTAGTACTATGGGCTTTTGCATCAACAATTGCGAATTTTTTGTATTTTTAGATTTTTTTTTTTAATATTTACAGAAATATTATAGCGCCGAAAAAATTTGCAAAACTAGACCCTGCCGCCCTTCGCAAGGGCGGCAAGCCGACGTGGCACACGGCGCGCTGGACGGCGCGGGACGGCCGTCCTCCTGCCCCCTCCTGCCCTCTTGCCGCCCTGGCAAAGGGCGGCAGGACCCCCTTGCCGCCCTTACAGAAGGCGGCAGGCCTGGCCGCCTATAAAGCCCAGCCGGCTCCTTTGAGGAGCCCATTCCCTCCTAACCTCTCCACATCAAAAAAAAAAAAAAAAGGAGAAGGGGAGGAGAAGAAAAGAAGAGGCGAAGCCCTGCCAGTTTCAAACTTCGATTTCAGGTAATATTCGTAGATTATATACGTGACTAAATATATGATAAATGCATTGTATGAAATAGAGTTTTACCTGTGGTACTATATAAATATATATTGTTAGATGTAGCCATGTAGGTAACTTAGTAGATCTGTAGTATTTGTAGTTATTAGGTTTGTAGTTTTAAATGTTGTTGAGTAACATTGCAATAGAATATATAAAAATTTAGGTACGTTGCAAAGAAGATATTACACTGTAGTCGTTTATTATGTAAAATAACGGCCTAGTAATTAACTTTGCAGATATGTCCAGTAAACTTATATTTCAACTATACCATGGTCAAGGAAACGTCCGTTATGGGCCAACTGGGGTAGATCTGTCAGAATTTATTGTAACAGCAAGGGGAATTGATAGGCCAGCCGAGAGGAGTGTACCTTCTATAAAAAAATGGTTGATGCGGGGCTTGAGAGTTGATCCACAGACTAGTGACATTACAATCTATGTTGTAGTAAGTCGGGCAACAGAGGGTTTTTATTGGGAACTAATGCCGGTTCAAAACTCTGGGATGTGGAGATGGTATGTGGAGAATGCATTGCAACGTGGGTGGCCTCTAGCTATGGTTCCGTATGTTCATCCGAAGGATCCAAGTGTACAGATGAACATGGATGATGGCGAGGGGCCAAGTGCAGAAGTGAATGAGATTGAAGTGGATCAGGTCAACGCACCAGAGGAAGATGGAGTAGCTCCAGTAGTAGCTCCAGTAGGCATGCAACCTGGTGGAGTGGCTGACGAGGGGGAGACTGTGGGTGCCATTGTGGACGAAATGGAAAAAGAGGATAGTGACAACGAGCGTGTCGAGGAAGATGATTCGTCAGATGATGACGAGAACAATATTAATCCAGCTGAATGGGCTAGTGATGATTTTTCTGGTTTGGTCATCTCTGAAGGGGAAAATGTGAGATGGGAGTACAAGGAAAACGAGATTATCGAGGGAGCGAGGTATGGTAATGGAGAAGACATGAAGGAGGCGGTGAAGCATTATGCAGTGTCACTTCATAGGGAGTTTTGGGTTGCCAAGTCTAACCGGACACAATATGAAGTTAGGTGTGTTAATGAAAAAGATGGGTGTCCGTGGAGAGTGCACGCCTATAAGGGGAAATGGAAGGACTACTGGACAGTGTCGGTCGTTACGAAACATACTTGTTATCTACCTGGTGTTCAAAAATACCACAGGAACATTACATGTGCATTTGTTGCATCTGAGATGTATGCGCATGTCGTGGACAATCTGGCATATGAACCGAAGTCAATAATCCGACATATCGAACAGACTTTCAAGTATACAATTAGCTATGCCAAGGCGTGGAGGGCCAAACAGAAAATAATAGAGATGAGATTTGGAACTTATGAAGCCTCATATGACAATTTGCCACGTCTGCTATCTGTTATCCAACAAAGAAACCCTGGGACCTCTTGTGCACTCAAGACATTCCCCTCAATTGAACATCCTGGCAAGACTGTGCTGCAAAGAGCGTTCTTAGCTCTACATGCATGCAAGATGGCATTCGTGCACTGTCGTCCAGTTCTTTGTATTGATGGCACATTTTTGACCGGGAAGTATCGGGGCCAGATACTAACGGCAATTGGGGTAGATGGGAACAATCAGGTATTGCCGTTGGCATTTGCTTTTGTCGAGAGCGAGAACACCGACAGCTGGTACTGGTTCCTCCATCTGGTTAAGACAGAAGTTGTTGGTATGAGGCCCAATGTGTGTCTAATACATGACAGGCACGCCGGTATGCTTCGAGCGATAGAAGAGTTAAAGTTTGGGACTATGGAAAGAGGATACCCTGGCCAGTGGGAAGATGTACAAAGCAGGTGGTGCATGCGTCATATGGGAGCTAATTTCTTCAAGCAATTTAAGAACAAGGAGTTGATGAACATGTTCAAGAGGCTATGCAATCAGAACCAGGAGAAAAAATTCAATGAGCTTTGGAAGAGATTAGATGAGTTGACAGGCAAATGTAGTGACCAGCGTGCAACAAGACCAGCGGCCGCTGTACCTGACCCTCCTCAAGCACTCGGAGCTCTCCCAACAGACAGTGTAACATTGGTTAGAAGAACTGGGGAGCAAATTCGAAAATTTTCTCAGTGGATTGAGAATGAGCCAAAAGAGAAATGGGCTAAGACTTATGACACAGGTGGTGCTAGATATGGTATAATGACAACAAATTTGGCGGAAGTTTACAACTGGGTGATGCGCGGTGTCCGTGGACTCCCACTAGTTGGTATAGTGGAGTTCATTTTACATGGGACATGCAAGTATTTCAGGGAGCGGTTCCAAGCAGTTTTTCCCTCTATGCCGAACAACAACATTTTATTTGGAACTTTCATGGAGAAAAAACTAGCGGAGTGGCGTGCAAAGGCCATGAAACATCGAGCTCTAGTGCAAGGTACCCAACAACACAGGTTTGAGGTCCTCTGCCAAGACAAGGCAGGCAGGGGTATCTACCGCAAGAGAGTAAAGCAGGAGTGCGTTCTCAAAGACGACGGCACATGTCACTGCTCCTGTAGAAAGCCGACGCTGCTCCACAGGCCATGCACCCATGTCATTTCCGCGGCATCTGAGTGTGGCATCCAAGATGCAGTATATGTGTCACAATACTTCTCCAAGCAAGCAATATATCACACATGGAGTGGCGAGATTTTTGGCTTCGGTGTAGCTGGGGAGTTCACAAAGATTAACGATCTGATAATCTATATTCCTGACCCAACGAAACTCCGAGACAAGGCGGGACGGAGGAAGACTCGGCGCATCCGCAACGATATGGATGAGTCGGAGGCAGGCAGGGTGAAGCGGTGCAGCAAATGCGATGAACGTGGCCACACCTACAAGTATTGTCCTAAAGACAAGGAAAAACCAAGTGCGGCGGAGGCAGGTCTATCAGGATCAGCAGCAGATGGAGCTCGCCCTACGGGTGAAGGCACTACTTCAAGGCGACCCCGTCCTAGACGTTCTCGTGGAACGACCGGTTACGTGGTGTAGTTCGTGTGTTGTATGTTGGCAAAAGGCTTTGCTTGTAATTTCGTTCGAACTTATCGATATGTTCGCATTGTGTTGTGTTGCGAACCACTTGTTAGACTTCCGCATGTAATGTCTTTATGTTTTACGGCTTGTAATTTTGTTTTATGTTATTTCATTCTCGTTACGTGCCTTTGTGTAACGAAAGTTATGTTCTCAATAATCTGCACTCTTGCATGTCTCTATAAGTATTCTTCCGTTTCAGATAACTTGTTTTTACAATTATATTATTACCTTCTTATTTACCCTAACATGTAACACGTTACTTGCAGAGATGGCACATCCTGAGTTGTTGGATCCGGCGATAGATCAGCGCCACCGGTCGTACCTTACTGCGGTGGAGGGGGCTCAGCTTGGGACGTTCCGTCCACGGTCGTCACGTGAGCGACTTTTGGTTCACGACTCCTTCGTCGAGAGGTATGGTTGTACTGTGTTCACGACACCGGGCTTACCTTACTACGGTGGAGGGGGCTTAGCAATGTGTTCATTTTAACGTCTGGTATTATTTCGCTTTCGCAGGTTGCGTGAGGCCGGTCTCTTACCGTTGGCTCGGCTAGTTGAGGCCGCGACCGGCGACGACGACGTGACGAGACGTTGGGACCCGGACAGGTCCCTCCTAGCAGCGTTGGTCGACCGGTGGAGGCCGGAGACGCACACTTTTCACCTGCCGTGCGGTGAGGTAGCCCCTACCCTGCAGGATGTCTCTTACTTGTTGGGGCTACCGCTCGCGGGAGACGCTGTCGGGCCAGTTGACATGGGTGTCGACTGGAAGGACGAGCTGACGGCACGTTTCGCACCCGTGCAGCGCCTACCAGGTCTACCGCTCGAGCCGTTGCAGCAGCACCGCAACACCGGGCCTACGAAGAGGTGGCTGCTTCAGTTCACTGTAAGTTCTTTCTACCTAAACTGACGTGTATTATGTACGTAACTTGTAAAGTGCCTAACATTTCATCCAACGCTTGCAGGTTGACCAGCTACCGGAGGAGGCCGACGAGTACTCCTTCAGCCGTTGTTTGGAGGCGTACTTGTTGTGGCTTTTTGGGTGGGTGATGTTCTGTGGTAGTCACGGACACTCGGTCGACCGGGGTCTCGTGCACTACGCCAGGAGCATCGCCGACGCCGCGGTCGGTGAGGTGCCTCAGTGGAGTTGGGGCTCCGCGTTGCTGGCGGCTCAGTACCGTGGCCTCTGCGAGGCTTGTACCAGGACGGACCCTGGCGCGATCTTCGGTGGGTGCCCTCTCTTCATTTCTCTTTGGGCGGCTGAGAGGATTGCGATCGGCCGCCCCCTTGTGGAGCACCACCCTTACGACGCGTCGCTGTACGAGAACAGACCGGCGGTCGACTACCCAACGATGGGTACTCTGTGGTGCCGGCGTCAGGTACGTCGCTAGTATTTGGTAATGTTGTCCTACTATTGTTAACTTCATCCTACGTCACACTGACCTTATTGTATTGCAGCGCCGATGGGCTCACGTGCAGGTTAGGCGGTCGTACGCGGAGTTTGTGATGGAGTTCGACCGCCTTCTGCCGACGGACGTAGTGTGGGAGCCCTACAGTGCCTTGCTTACCCACAGTCGGGCGCCGCTAGGCCTGTCCACACTCTGCACGAGGGACCAGGCGTACTGGATGACTACGGTTCCGATGGTGTTCGACATCTGTGTCGAGCCGCACGCACCTTACCGCGTGATGCGGCAGTTCGGCTTCCGTCAGTCCTTTCCAGTCCCGTTTCCGGCGGGCGTCACGGCTGCCGTTCACCGGTAAGCCGTTTTACTACGATTTAATATGTTGCATTAACATCGGGCTGTCCATAATAATTTGCTTTGTTTGTCGTTTGCCCTAATACAATACATTAATTTGCAGGTACTCGCGCAAGGGTCAGCACTCAGCTGGTCACTGGCCTGCCAAGTTGGGGCCTTTTCTCGACGACTGGTTGCTTGCTACCGAGGAGGTCGTGGACCACGCGGGAGAGCCACACACGGAGGAGGGGTATGAGGCGTACCTACGTTGGTATCAGCCACGCACCCGTACTAGAGTCACCTACGCTCCGACGGAGCAACAGGCCCACGCCGCGAGCGCCAGAGACCTCTACGCCAGGCACCGCGACCAGGACTTCGCTCGTGCGGTGAGTACCTTGCATCGCACCATCGTCTCATCATCCTTTCTGTTGGACAAAGGCTACGAATATTTACGTTGTAATTAACCGTGCAGGCCGTTGAGTGCAACAGGGTCGTCGTTGATGCTACAACGGCGATCCAACGGTTAGGCGCGGGGATTGAGGTGGGGGCAGACGAGCACCTGTCGACGTACACGCGGATACGGGACTCGATGCGCTCGGTTCTCCGTGCGCTGACCTGTCGTGCTGCCGACGTTGCTCAGGCAGACGCAGCACCACAGGTGCGTCCCCGACCGACTGCTCCTCGTCCAGCTGCGCACGTTCCTACGCCGACACCCCCTCCCTTCGGAGGTACGTATATTCAAGGTCTATTTGTACATCATCAATCAATTGATACTCAATTTATGTGTAAGCTTACAAGTGTCGCGTCGTCGATGTGTAGGCTTCGCTCAGCCTGGGACGACGCCGGGCGCCCACTCCTGGCAGGCTGCGGGGTCATCGTCACAGGCAGGTGTGTCGGCCTCGCTGTCTGCGCAGTTCTGGCAGGACGCCGGGACTTCGTCACAGCCGCCCGGCACGTCTTGGCAGGGTCCTACCGGGACTTCGTCCGAGCACGGGTGGGCTTCCGCCACGCACTTCGACATTAGTGACTTCGACTTCCCGGACATTATCGGTCCCTCACAGCTTGGAGGCGCACCGCCGGTGCACACGCAGGAGCAGTCGCCCTCCACCCCACTCCCAGACCCTCGCGCTACCCGTGCTGTCCCACCGGATCGCTTCACGTACTCCCAGGACCACGTGCGAGCACAGGCCCGGAGGACCAAGCGGGGTCGCGGCGCGAGTCACGGCCAGTAGAGCAGACATCTCTTTATTTTTCTTTACATTCTTGTACTATATGGTTGTAAACTGAATATGTTGTTGTTTATATTCGGGACTCGCATTCCTACACTTCGCTGTTACGTTTTCCAAAAACAGGAGTCCTTTCCAGCCGTTGTGCAGAGAGGAAGCTGCCGCCCTTGCAGAGGGCGGCAAGCCCTCGGCTCCCCGCGGCCCGTGCGCGCCGTCAAGACGCACACGGCGCCGTGTGCCACGTCGGCTTGCCGCCCTTGCGAAGGGCGGCAGGGTCTAGTTTTGCAAATTTTTTCGGCGCTATAATATTTCTGTAAATATTAAAAAAAAAATCTAAAAACAAAAAAAACTCCAACAATTGCAGCCTTTGGGCCACTAGGCCTGTTGAGCGACACAATCTTATGATTTGGGCTCAAATAGGCAAAGGCTGTGTTTATGGAGGACATATCCGGTGAAAATGAGCTAAGTGTTGAAAACTCGTGAAAATCATACCTAAAAGTTTCATAAATTTATGAAAAAAATACTAGAGATAGGTGTAGATATAAAATACATTCTCACCAAATCTTAACTCCAAACTCAAGTTCGTTTATGAGAAACAAAAAAGACAAATTTCAGGTGAATAGTGTCCTGTTACTATTCACCTGAAATTTGTCTTTTTTGTTACTCCTAAACGAAGTTGAGTTTGAACTTGAGATTTGGTGAGAATGTATTTCATATCTACACCTATCTCTAGTATTTTTTTCATGAATTTACGAAACTTTTAGGTATGATTTTCACGAGTTTTCAACACTTAGCTCATTTTCACCGGATATGTCCCCGTGTTTATGTAGATCCAAGGGTAGAAAGTTTTGACGCGTCACATCAGTTATACGGACACACATTTGAAGTATTAAACATAGTCTAATAACAAAATAAATTACAGAATTCGCTTGTAAACCCGCGAGACGAATTTATTAAGCCTAATTAATCCGTCATTAGCAATGTTTACTATAGCACCACATTGTCAAATCATGGCGCAATTAGATTTAAAAGATTCGTCTCGCAATTTACACGCAATCTGTGTAATTAATTATTTTTTTGTTCATATTTAATACTCTATGCATATGTCCAAACATTCGATGTGACATAGTGTACAATTTTGCCAGGGGATCTAAACAGGCCCAAAGCAATTTTTTTACATCAATAAAAACAAATAAATCATGCAAATTCGTTATACGCAATTGATATTATACCTTTTGTACATGTAAAAAAAAGATATTATACCTTTTGTACCATTGATATATCACGAAATATCACAATTTAAATTCGATGTTTCATATTCGAGAGCAAAATGTTTCAACTGAAAATTTATTGTGTTCCACGTATGAAAATACTCCACTTTGGTGGTGACGCTGAATACGAGTCAACACATCATAAAAATTACCTATCATTGTTGACTTGTTGTGTAGGATGAGACGGTATCGGAGAATATTAAGGCTGGCGGAAGGGGCGGCCGCTAGGCGTGTCCACGTCGGATTTCGCTATAGCAGCTAAAGTACGCGGGGTTGGATTTTTGCGAAAAAACCTCAGATTTTTTTTAATGATATATAGGCCCCTCACAAACAGTACTTGCGGTTGCGGTAGAGATATTGCGGATAGGGGTTTCATATGTGGAAGGTGAGGGGCTTTTTCGCAAAAAAACATCCACTAGCATGATATTATACCATCTTCAAAACCGAGGCTTCGCTATAATGCCATCCTACAATTGTGATTCGTCCAAATACCACTTTCAACTGGATGTAGTTTGCTGAAATGCCATTTTATTTGTTTGTAGTAAATCAAAATCATTTTGTCCCTTTTTCTCACGACTTTGATGACTAAACTACGCCTGGTTGATTCAATTTAAACAGATGTGATGAACATATAAAGAAAGGACTTTCAACAGCACTTAAGCATCACTCCATTAACAGATCTATCTGTAAACATCATTCCCAACCACAAAATGCATAATCAGTTACCACTCCCAACCACAAAATGCATAAGCACTCAAACTAAGTTTATATATCATAAACATTCTGACATACATAACAATGTAGGTGCATGAGACATACATAGACTATGTTCGGATCCCAGTGATGGTAACTAATCCCTCCCGCACGGAAAACGGAGTGGTCTATTAGCACATGATTAATTTAGTATTAGCTAGTTTTTTTTCAAAAATGGATTAATTTGATTTTTTAAAGCAACTTTCGTATAGAAACTTTTTAAAAAAACACATCATTTAGTAATTTGAAAAACGTGCACGCGAAAAACGAGAGAGATGTGTTGGAACATGGGAATACAAACACAGCCATAATTGAGTTCACATCTCTGCTGCATCACTCCTGCAGCATTGTGTGGTTGACGGTGGCGAACCCACAGATCCAGGGCGGCGACGGACCGGCGCGTGGAGAGGGGCGGCAGTGCGGCCGATCTCCTCGTCCTCTACAAGCCGAGGCGGGGTGGCGTGAGGGGAGGGCGGCGGCTGGGTCGGCCGCGGCGCGAGAGGAGGGGGGGACCTCGTCGGCGCCAGGGGAGGGCCGCGGCGCTGCTGTTTGGGCGGCGATCGCGGCGCGCTGACGAGAGGAGAGGGTCGGACGGCGCGGTGGCGCGAGGGGAGGGCAGGACGTGTCGGCGCAAGGGGAAGCCAAGACGGCACGGCGGCCCGAGGGGAGAGCGGCGGCGGCGCCCAGATCGGCGCGCGGCGAGGATAGCTCGATCCAGATCGAGAACGGGAACAGGAACCCTATCTCCAGCTGATTTTTTACTATGTAAATGATTCAGGGGTAATTCCGTGAACTCATGTAAAAAAAAAGACTAAAATCTTTTAATTTTGATGAAAATGATTTGGGATGGTATTTGAGAGGGTTGGTCCTAGTTGAAAGTGGTATTTGGACGAATCCTGATTGTAGGGAGAATACTACCAATCGGATGTCTGATATCTCGAAAAACATTGGACGGTCAAAATGTTGCAGCTGACTAACAAGTGAAACATTAATTTATATACGGTGAAATAAAAAAAACAGCAATAGAAACATTTAAAAATCTTATGAAACATAGTGAAGATACACGTTGAAACATGTTTTTATCACTTATGAAACAACGTGAGTTATTAGATTGAAACATATATTTTTCTTTCATCAAAATATAATCATATGATATCTTGTTGTAAATATTTAATTACAACGAATACAACGGTGTGATCAAATCATAGATTGGATAAGTAGTTTAGAAGAAAAATCATTTAGGACTGCTAAAATGCATGCATGCAAGCATTGATGGAGGGTAGTGGCAATTATTTTCGAGAATTTTATGAAACACAGTAAAAACAGACGCTGAAACATATCGATATAATGTACGAAACATGAAGTATTAGTAGTTTGAAACTTATATTTTTCTTTAATCAGAATATAATCATGTGATATCTTGTTATAACGATTTAATTCCAACAAATACAATGGTGTAATCAAATTTTAGATCGAATAAGTAGTTTAGGAGAAAAAATATTTTGAAGATTGACACATACATATGCATGGTTGGAATGAATAGCTAAGACAATTGAGTTAGCAGTTAATTGATTGCAGATAGAAGCACCTGAGAAACTTGCCGTATCAATTGACGGATTCAAATATTTCTAGAGTTAGCATGTAGACAGCGTGGGAGACGTCGATGTTGTGTCCGATTTTTTTGTCTCGGTCGGACGGCCGATTACAAGCATTTTCCCAATTGTAAGATGGTATTATAGCGAAGCCTCGTTTTGAAGACGGTATAGGGTGTGTTTGGTTGGTCGTATCCTTCTATCCTGGCTCATCTCTCCCATACAGGCTGAGTTTATCCTGGCTAAGGGGATCCACATACAGTTGTTTGGTTGTTTGTATTGATCTAGCCGGGCTGGTATGAGATTGTGTTTGGTTGCTTGCATGAGAGATACGGTTTGAGAGAGATGTTGTTTGGTTAGTTGTATGATTTTGAGTTTGGTTACCTCTCCATTTAGTTAGGTGAGCTTACCTCTGTAATATCAATATATCATATGAAAAAAATATTTAAGTTGAGTATAAGTAAATAATTTATCACATGGGAAGAAATTAGATTGGTGTTAATTTTTATATTATTTAATATTTTATTATACAAAATCGACAACATTAAAGAATCAACTAGACCAAATAATATTCATCTGAAAAAATGTATATTTTCTTTGATGGGAATTCCTATACGATTAGCATGCAAACAGTAACTTACACATTATTAATTTACCCGGCAATCAATCAGTTAAGGGGAAAAAGCAAAAACAAAAGAAAAAAAAAGAATCGTCGTTACGGCTGTGTTTGCAAACCACGTATTCCCAACCTCTCTCCCTCGTTTTGTTTCGTGGTCCTGTTTATTAAATTGAATCTCCAATGCCACATGCCATCTGCCGTCACACACTCACTCCTTTTATCCCTTGTAGATGCAGCAAAGCCCACACTCAAAGAGAGATAGTTGGTGATGGATCAGGAGCTGAGCTTGGCGGTGGAGCGCGATGCTTTGCTCCAGGAGGACTCCATCATTTTTGCGCTCATCAAGCAGTGGCCTACACTCCCGCCGCCGAAGCTGCCGGTGGCCGGTCCCTTCTGGAAATGGTAATGTTGGAATTAATGAATGGGTCTTAGCCCACTCGAAGATTAATTCTTTGGAAAATCACAAAAGCCCACCTCATGGGATGGCATGCATGTGGAGTTTAGTACCACCTTGCTTATTCTAGGAGAGGGGGACCTCCTTAAAAGGGAGGATGCCCTCCTAGCCACTTGAAGCATGTGTGGTGGAGAGAAGAGGGGAAACACACGCGCGCGCTCGCTCGCCTGGCCTGGCCTGGGCAGGGCAGGGCAGGCGGCGCGCGTGCACGACGTACGCGTCGAATGGTCCGAAAAATTGGCTCCTCACCCTTGCGCAGATGCAGCCTCTTTTTGCAGTTTTGTTTTGCTGCAAATTCGGATTCGTTTTTGTTTTGGAAACGTTCCGAAAAATCCGATGCGTGCAAACGGCGTGGAGTCCGGATAAGTTACGCGCGACTTATCCGGTTCGGTTACGCGCAGTAGAG